TGTCCCCTTTTCCTACTTTTCCCCCATTCTTCTCCTTACTTATACTATGTTCTAATGAAGCACATAATTGACCTGGCTGCCTAGTTTTTATTCCATTTTGGGTGTTCTTTTGAGAAATGCTTTTTGTAAAGATTATTGACCAAAAAGGGATATTCCAATTTAAAGCAATGTATTACTTTTAATTTTTGTTTTACTCCATTGGCTGAAGCTAGAAACACAGCAATGCCAAAATCTGATTCTTAAGCATCAAGAGATCCCTATGGTAAAATAAAATTTGACTAATTTCCTTCCTGAGGAAGTCCCTCCCAAGTACTGAGGCTTGTTTTCCACATATTCTGTTCTCTCTCTGAGTTGATACAGGTACTGACCTGTTCTTGAGTTAAGTGTTATTTATTACCCTTTCATAACAGGCACTAGAACAGTATGGATCATTTGAAAGTCAACAGAATGTGCTTTTTCCAAAAACACATTCCCACACTAATTTGGATATTTTGAATGTCTTGATCTCAGGTGGCACTGTTTTTAAAAACAATTGTCATTTTGATCCGTGAACAAATCAGCCACCACATAAATAGACAAATTTGGAAACATGATACAGTACTATAAAAGGCAAACTTAACTGAAGGTGTGGATACAGTGCTGTTTTGTATCAATTTCAGCTCCGATTTATTCTAAATCTAATTAAAATCACATGGATTGTAAATCACTGTGCAACTTCACTGTGAAGTTAATTAATCCAGTATGGATTGGAGACTTTGGGAACCCACACATGGTATGAAATGGTTTAATTGTCCAGTAAGTTTGCAGACCCCACTGCTTCCATAATTTTGACAATTTTATTATTTTTATTTCATTAAGCAGCATAGTGCTGCATCAACAGTAGTAAATAATAAGAAACAGAATTAAAATTTATATGTATTGTACTGAAAGATTGTGCATATTTAGCATGTGACAGTAGCACTTCCAGCTATATGTTAACAAGACATGGTATTCACATTGGTTGAAGCTATTTGAAAAGAATCAGATTAACAAGTGTGGTAATTTTAAAAGCCCCATTTAATTTGCTGCCAAAAAAAGGTGGCCTTTGCTGTGTGTTGTGTAATTGGGATTTTTCAAACCAATTTCAATTATGCAAAACTCGATTCAAAGCAGTTCTTATTCTCAGTGCAATCATGGCCTGATTTAGTGTGAGCCTTCTTAACTTTAAATTGCCTTCAATAACATGTGATCAGACAGGATGATTGTTGTTCATTGATCTCTGTACTGCATAGTACCAGATCATATAAAATATACTATTCACATATCTATTTTTCAGTCCAGCACACTTCATTTCAACTGCCATGCAGTGGTCAAATCCCTCTTCAACCATCCTCCTCTGCTAATATCACCATCCTCTTCTCTGACCTTTACAATTTTTTTGCATCTGGTTTCCATCTACCCACTGTCTGCCTTGGCACATAAGTGGCTACAGGCTACAGATTTTGGAGACATGGATTTACCAAAATGTTTTGTGTTACATGTATTTCCACTGCATATTGCTGTTGATTCAATGTCCCTTTAAAAACAAAAACAATCCAAATAGTTTAGTAGTATACCATTTTAACAATAAGTCCAAACATTGTTGAGAACAATAGAAATAATTTTATTTAAAACTGTCAAATGGCCTACTGCTAGAATTATGCACTGCTAGATTTTTTAAAAAATCATGGCTATTTGAGTAGCAGTGCCAAAAAAAAAAAAAAAAAAAAAAAGCAGGGCAGAAGTGCTCACTTCCACACCAGGGCCAAAATCCTGCTGCTTAGTGTAACCTAAATCATAGAATCGTAAAGTAGTAATGGATTTTGAAATGGCCTAGGACCATAAAGTCCAACCCCCTGTGCAGTGCAGGAATTGAAATCAAATATATCTGACAGATGGTTGTCTAACTTTCTCTTGAATGCCTCCAGTGTTGGCACACTCACTATCTCCTTGTTGTTGTACTGCTCTTACAATTAGGGATTTTTTGTGATATTCAACTGAAATCTGGCTTTCTTGTCGTGATTCTTGGGGCATACACAGCTAATATTTTGTATACCTGAAGCATCATAGCAGGGACAGTTTGTCTGCCAGAGATGAATGGATGAAAAGATTACTTGGCTTACTCTAAGCAACAGGAATCTGGCTGCTGAGGCAGGGAGTTTGATTCTCGACCTGGCTGCTGAGGCAGGGAGTTTGATTCTCTTCTTCCTACTACTACTACGACTATGACGGCTACTACTAAGCAACAGGATTTTGGTCCATGTCTCACTGTGTATGTATTGGTCTACACAAGACACTTTCAGCAATGTTCTGGAAGGACTTAAAAATTGTGCACACAATAAAAACCCAAGTAAAAAACAATGCACGATAAAACACAGCAAAAACAGAAAAAGAGCACTGTGGGCTAAATAGTTCATGTGAAAAGACTGAATTTATGTAGGTTTTAGCAATAATGTTGTCTGGTTATCAGAGAAAATGCTGAAGTGATCTGTGAGTAACCATGTATGTACAGATAGGCAAATCTGTCAGTTATGCCTGTTGTCACATGACTATCTGTATATGAATTTATTTGTTCTTAGATCAAAAAAATGCAGAGCACGAGCTGATTTGGGCAGTGGAACACATCTGCTCTGGAGTGTCACCAATATCACCTGCTAAGGGTTAACTCACTTTCTACTAGTTTTTCTCCCCATACGGCTACTATGCTTTTTTTAACAGCTGAAGGAAATGCAGTCAGGAAATAGACCTTTCCCAATAATGGGAATTCTACAAATTGGGGTCCTGTTTGAGGCCTCAAAATCAACATTTGCAACAAAAAAATGCTGCAACAAGAAATCCACTCAAAAACAATTGCAAGTACCCATTTCAGAACAGGGAAAGTCATTAGACCCAGAGACATGTAGCAAAGTCAAGTCACATACAGAATTCATAAAGAAATGAATTAAAGAATAATTGCAAATAGCCATTTCAGAGTCGGAAAAAGTTTTCAGGTTCAGAGTCTTGCAGCATGCCCAAGGCACACCCAGAACGTTCAAGGACATAAACAACAGGAAGCAAGTGAACAGAGTATTTCCATTATGGTTTTACCATTAGTCTGATTACCAGATTATCTAAAATACAAAGTGAAGACATAATTTTCATTGTATTTGTTCCCCAATCAATCTACGTTGTTTCATTTTTGTTTTTCTAACTGCCAATACTACTGTTCATGTTCAGGTGTTACTTTTGATTCTTCTCTTTACTGCAATTTTCTGTACTAGCAAAAATCTATCAGTTTTCCAAGTATAATCTTTAAAAACTGCAGTCCCTTTCAACCTCTTAATGCTACTAAGCCTCTTCTTCAGACTTACATTCCATCTTGCATTGACAAATGTTTTCTTCTCTGATCTTCTTAAAGCTTGCAATGTAATTTGTAAAAATATCCTGCACAAGAGCCCTCCTCCCCCCGTGCAAGTAACGGCACCTTAAAATGGTTTAGTCTGTTATTGTTTTAATGCTTTCTTAAATCAATATGGTGATGCTCATTATGTTGCTTGCTACATTGGCCATGCGCGAGGGGGAGTATTGTTGCTTAAACGGACATAGCAGTTGGAATATGCACTACTTTTAACTGAAAACATGGACCACACATAGCCCTGACCATTGCTGTATTATTGTGTTATGCCCTATTTCCACAAGTAATTTGTTACATTGTTATGTGCAAACACATTGCAACAAAATTTGTTGCAATTCTAAACATCCGCAAGAGGAATCATGTAAGGAGCTGCAGCTAGCTAACAGCATGTCAGTGTGGTGCCCGATTGCATGCCTCTAGATGTTGTTGGGTTGCAGCTCCCAGTCACCATTGGCTGCCCTGGCTGGGGCAGATGGGAATTGCAGTACAATCCCTGGAGAGCCACCAGTTGCCACTTCAGGCTGTCACTTTTCTCAGACTTTCGCTCCTCTTTCCTTCTTCCCTAATTCCTGTCTCTTTTAAGTGGTGAGACTCTTTTGTTCATTTTTAAAAATTTTGTTTAGTGCAACATGCATGGGCATTTTTTTTCTAACACTAAATTACCTGCATTTCATTCTAATAAATTGTTTTATCAGAGCAATAACTTTCAGTGGAATTAGAGTGATGAAATTTTATTTAAATGAAAGGGTAATCATGTGCTAATCCCAGTAAAAGGTCTGTTTCTCACTTCTGGTTGGCTTGTCTGATGGGGAAGGACGTAGTATCAAAAGTGATACACTGCTGAACATATATATCTAATTTCCCACCTTCAGATATAGTTGGTGTAGCAGCCTCTTCTATTTCCAGGCTCTACCTCAGCAGAGGAAGCAGTGAAAAGAAAAAAACCTGACCTACTTCTGATTTGACTTTCTGCTCTTGTTCTGGTTCTAGAATCCCAGTGAAGCCTCTGTCGTTGGCAGGGAGGTCTCTTCAAAGGGTCACTGTCCATTTATAACACTGCATAATAGTTAGAACACTTGATTTCTCAGCCACTGTCTTTCAGTTTGCATGAGCCAAAGCTCAAAAGGCCATATGTTGAATCATAGCAGTGCACAAGGGAGTTATCATGGGTTTTATTTTTATACAGTATTTTGTTTAGCAGCAGTTCCTGTCTATTCATAGCTTAATGCAGAGACGTACAATAAAATTCAAACAAGATTGGCCACAGAGCTCAGCCCAGCCCTAGAGTAATGATTTAGGCTGGTGATTCTTGCTTTACCACATCTCTACCAGCTTTCAGCTTAACCTACATTTGTTATAGTTCTACACGTTTTGTGCAAAACTACGTTGACTGCATTGTAAAATAATAATGCAATTGTTTTTCACAAGGAGCTCAGAATCAATCTGTGTCTTCTCAATCTATTTTCCCAATCCTGATTTGTTTACCAGCCAACTTACATCTATATCTCCCTAGTCAGGATAATATTAAAAATTTAATATACATTCTCCACTTCTAATATGTAATAATAATATTTTCTTCTTTTTGTAGCAGATAAACAGAAACCTCAACACCCAATAGTAACTTACAGGTACATCCTAATTATGTGAACTGCCTGATTGTTAAAAACTATCATGTGCTGTGTTTGTTTTCATGCTAATGGGATAATGTAATTTCTTCTGTTTTGTTGTTTCTGAATTGGGTCCCACCCAACTTTGATTGATCCATTGCTCCAAAGATAACTCAGATTGGGCAACTTTGTTTCTTAAATGGGTATATATTCATCAAAACTAATCCATTTAGTTTGACAGTCATGGATTTCCCTTTCTGCCCACAATAGAGCTGATATTGAATGTATTATCTCTGTCATGGTCTCTGTGAATCACACATTTGGGTGTTTCTTTTTTTGATTGAAACTTGTCAGAACAGTTTAGAGATTAAAGCAGAACATTGTTAGGGAAGCCCCCCTACTAGTGCACATGGCTTTGCACCTAGCAGTTATCCCTCACTTTTAGCCACCACTGCGGACACTTCTTGGAACTTTCTCTGGAGCCCATTTCATTACTTTATACCATAATTTTTGCCTTTTGTCCATTGTTGTTTTCATCTTCAGCCATTCTGCAAGTTCCCCCTAAAAGTGTATTGTATGTACCAACAAAATTCTCCTCATCAACAGACATTTTAAGTGTTTGTACTGCTTTGGTGAGGGACACTAAACCCAAGCTTGTCAGCATTGTCATAAATTTACAAAGGTTGCTATAAGGAAATGACAATCCCACCTCAGACTCTATCTTTGGGAAAAGCTGCCACAGGCTGTCAGGTCTTTATCCCAACAAACCTCTTGTATTCCATCAGTATCTGTTTGTAAGACCTCCACACAAGTCATCATGCTGGTGATCCAATTGGAATCAGGCACTACCAAAAACCAAGTTGATCAGAGGCCAAGGAAAGTTGAGTCAGCCCAACTCTTACCAATCAAAACCGATGGCATACTGTCGACACTGAGGGTGCCATCAGCATAAGAAACTATGGCGTCCAGGGCAACATCAACACCAAAATTGATATTTGGTTTTCTAAAAGCAGAGAAAATCTCTTGAATTGGACTCTACCCTAGCAAAGAAATCAAAGCTGAAGCAGACTCAAGTCATCCAAAGATTAATCCGTGGTTCCAAATAGCCACCAAAGATCAGCCACCAACAAGCAGATCTTCCTAGCCTGTGCAGAAAGATCAGGAAGATCTGATGTGCCTTGTGTCTGCTTCTGGGGAGGAAACACCTTGTCTCCAGGCTTCGTATTCAGCCTTCAGCCAATCCCCAAAGTAGTCAGCTTATACAGCATCCATCGAGCAGGTTCTGCCTGCTGTAGGAGAGTCCAGAACGTGAGCCCTAGGAGCCTACAACACTCTTTCCACTCATCCTCTGAATCAGTTTACACTGTTTGGAACAAGAGCATACCGCACCAGAGAAGTCTTAGCAAGACCCACTATCAACAAGAGATTGTGGCAGATCCAATGTGCTCACCGCCATACTTCTATGGTATGATGCCCCACAACTATCTGGGGCCCGAATGAGATTTCCCTCACTCTTCTATAAATAACCTGGAGTGCAGTGAGAGAAGCATATCAGCTTTCTCTGGGGTAGGCAGATGTGCCCCTCCATGCCACCTTAGGCATGAACCCAACTGCTCAATATCAGAATGCTCACTTGTCAATAAGCCTTTTTAAGTCTTAAAAACTGACTGACAAAAGGCAACATATATACTACAAACTAACAAAATATGCTTTAGAGTGGTGGTCCCCAACCTTGGGCCTCCAGATGTTCTTGGACTACAACTCCCAGAAGCCTCCACCACCATCTCTGCTGGTTAGGATTTCTGGCAGTTGAAGTCCAAGAACATCTGGAGGCCCAAGTTTGGGGACCACTGCTCTGGAGAATGCCCTGGGAAGTTTCCTCAGTGGCGGCTAAAGGGAACTGAGGAATAACCAGTAGGTGCAGGGACTTGCAAATTCATCTAGAGTAGTCCACCACAACTAGATAGGCTGGATGAAAATATGCTCTACAGAATGCCCTGGGAAGTTTCCTCAGTGGTGGCTAAAGGGAACTGAGGGATAACCAGTAGGTGCAGGGACATGCAAATTCATCTTCATTCACTCACTGTGAAGTCACATTGGGGAGTTCAGGTTCCCTGGGGTCTGTTTGAATTAACTAACCACACAGGAATACTTGATTGCAGCTTGTTAAAGTAGAAGTCTTGTAACACAGCTTCAGAAGAACTACTTAAAAAAGAAAAAAGGAAAAAAAGCGAAGTGTGCTGTTTATATACCACTTTGATTGCAGCTTGTTAAAGTAGATCTCTTGTAGCACAGCTTCAGAAGAACTACTTAATAAAGAAAAAAGGAAAAAGGGGAAAAAAAAGCAAAGTGTGCTGTTTATATACCAACCTCATAACTTCATAACCGCTTCTGGGCGGTTTACAAGTTAATGATGCAGGCTACACATTGCCTCCCCAGCAAGCTGGGTGCTCATTTTACTGACCTCGGAAGGATAGAAGGCTGAGTCAACCTTGAGCCGGCTACCTGGGATTGAACCCCAGGTTGTGAGCACAGTTTTGGCTGCAGTACAGCAGTTTAACCACTGCCCCACAATGCATGTAATAAGCTATAAACTAGATGTCCGATTTCCTCATTTTATTCTCTCTCTCTCTCTCTCTCTCTGTTGCCTAGGTGCTCTAGCATAGTACTGTCACTGAGTTGTTAAAAAGAGAACCTGCTCCCAGCCCCCACAGCCAGCTTATTTTCCCCAATGGCTAACCTACCCTTCTCAGAAGTGGAGGCAGCAGGGTTTGTGTGTGTGTGTGTGTGTTTGTGTGTGTGTGTTTGTGTGTGTGTGGTGTCTTCATTTCCTCCTTTCCACTCTCTTCCATGGTTAAAAAAATGTTATTAACAGGAAGAAGCACATTTTTTTCTTGAAACAACCAGACAAAATTACATGCAGTACTTTCTTTTTCTGACAGCTGCTCTGATGCTGAAAATGCAGCTGATATGAAGAATGTCTTATTGGTCTCCATGAAGGACTTAAACACAAGCACTAGCGAAGGTATAGAATGAATGTCTGTGCAGAAAACCAAACATTTTCCTGCCTAGTGTGCAAGTCTTAATGGAGCAATCTAGTCCCTGTAGCTTGAGTTATCTGGTGATGCAGAAGGAAGAAAATGGAGTGGAAGAGAAAAACAAGTAGGGCAGAATGTGAGGAAACAAATCATAATGCTCATGGGCACAACATTCTGTGTGATCCCTTGTTCCCACTGGTGCAAGCTTTTTGTTGAAAGCAATGGGGCTTTCACATGCACATGGGGCAGTGAATATTCCCTTCTGTGAACAGTAACAACAGTTGTTTGGCCGTATTCTGGAGAACAGCCTGAAAACAGCCAAATAGCCTGAAAAACCTACAACAACCATTGGATCCCAGCCATGAAAGGTTTTGAGAATACAGTAACAACAGCACTTGCAATGCAGTGTGGCATTCAAGAGATTTCTGCCTATAAACATGAGTACCAATTCTTAAAGTTACAGTTATTTTTATAACTGACCAGCTTAAATGGAAACAGTTGAGGAAGGAGAGGAGCCAAATGGCAGCTTATCTTTCAATGAGCCAACAGGACAAGTCCTCCTTTTCCATCTCTTCCACTGCTGCAGCAAGGTGATGTCACATTAACAGGAATCTGTGAACATCACATCCATTGAACTCCTTTGAAGAATTTGGAAGGGAAAAAGCTGGTGCTATTTCCTATACACTATTTCCTATATACAGTACTACTTTCGGCTATAGTCCCTATTGATGGCAATATCCCTTAGATAATATTGCCTCTTCCTCCCCTCCATGATTAGCTTAAAAACTGTTCTAGTCAAAGAACTCAAAAGTTAGGAAGACAGCATTGTGTTCTATATTTCAAGCACTAAAACTTTGTCTTTTCTGTTTTTCCAGATGGTATGAAACCAATGGTCAGCTGTGAAGAATGAGAAAACACTGTAATACTGCAATGTTTTTAGTCATAGTGGGTGGATTAGTAAGGTGTTTAATTAGTTTCCTTCTGGGACATCAAACATATGAAGCTGCCTTATAAATTAGCCCATAGGTTGATCTAAATCAGTGGTTCTTAACCTTCCTGTGAAGAATGAGGAAACACCGTAATACTGAAATGTTTTTAGTCATAGTGGGTGGATCAGTAAGGTATTTAGTTTCCATCTGGGACATTAAACATATGAAGCTGCCTTATAAATTAGCTCATAGGTTGATCTAAATCATTACTGTTTACTCTGCCTGGCAGTGGTCTCCAGGATGTAAGGCAGAGGTTTTTTCCTAGCCTTTTCTACCTGAAGATACCAAAAGTTAAGATGCACCTTACTTCTGCAAAAAAATCCTTCATCTGATAACTGAGACTATAAGTTTAACCTAGAAAACAGCAAGTCTAAGAGGGCTGCCTGCCTTCTTTCCACTGATAGTCCTATAGCTTCCTGAAAATGCTCTCCTGAAGTGACTCAATTGAATAAGATGATCTGTGACATGGTAGTGGTAGTGAGATGTTTGGGAGCTGCTGGAGAAAAGAGGTCAGCTTTTGTCAGCTCAGTACATGGTGCTGACATTCTTAATTTATTGTAGAAGTATTTTTTTTAAAGAACAGACTTTCTCCAACCTGGTGTTCTCCAAATATTTTAGACTTCAGCTCCTGTGATTCCTTACCATTTCTCATTTAAGCTGTGGCTCATGGAAGCTCTGGTCTAAAATGATAAAGACACCATGTTCAGGGAGGCTTATTCAGTGCATTCCCAGAAATCCTCAAGGAGAAAATCTGTCAAACAATACTTCCTTATTATAAATTGTTTATTGGGTAGCCATTTGGCAGACAGCTTGAACAATGTACTTAGCTAAGGAAACAAGAGTCCTGTTTTGTTGTCAGCACCTCCTTTTTTGCTTCCTGTGTTAGGAATGTTGCCCTTGCAACAAGAGTAGAAGGAGTGGAGTTAAAAGGCCTAATGCGGTGGTTCCCCAACTTTGGGTAACCCTGGTGTTCTTGGATTCACCTCCCAGAAGCCTTCATCACTAGCTGTGCTGGCCAGGGTTTCTGGGAACTGCAGTCCAAGAACACCTGGGAACCATCAAGGTTGAGAACCACTGGCCTGGATGCTCTTGTCTGAAATCCTGGGCAAAATTATCTGTACAGGGGATCTGAAAAGACCCTTTTAATCCCTAGATGTTAAGCACCTGGCATTTACGAAAAGTGTTTCCATCACCTAAGTTCTCCCTTCAATGATCTAATACTCTTCTAAAACAGAGTGATAGTATGCCCTAGGCTGCAAGCCTTGATATGTTGATTGTTTTAATCCTCTTGCTCATCTACAACATATGGCTGCAAAGAATCCTATCAGCTCATGTAGAGCCAGGTTTGAAGGAAGAGGTAGGAAGGCTGCTTTCTAACGTTCTCCATTGACTGCATAGAAAACAGTTCCCTCTTTTGCCAAGGTATCTGGAAGTTGAGTCATGGCAACTGGACTTCTTTCTTGTTACATTAAAATGTTTCACTACGTATCCAAGCAGCTTCTTCAGTCTGAGGAGAGTTGGTAGGAGATCCCTGATACAGTATATCCTCCACATTGGTTTCACTTCCCCCTGATCTGAATAGGCTCCTTAGAAGGACAAAGGACTGGGGGTGAGGGATAATCTCACTTCCGCAGTACTTCTCCACCCATTGTCATGAGTTGTTAACAGTGATCTTTCTTGTGTGTGTCCCCAATTCTTCTGGGGATAGATGAAAGGTGTGTCTGAAAAGTTCAAAAGGATTTTGGTAAACACCACATACCCCTGCACTTCAAATCCAAAAACACACTAACGCAGAAACGTATCCACCTAAAAGACTGAACACCAATACACAACAGGAGCAATATAGTGTATGTGATCCAATGCAAATAGGAGGGTTCGGAGAGCTACATTGGAGAAACCAAACAGGCACCAAGTAGGAGAATGGCCCAGGAGAGGAGGAGCAATGGTTCAGGACCACCATCACCTGTGTTCTTTCATTTGAACGAGAAAGGAAACTCATTTGATAACCAAGATGTACTCATTTTAGACTGAGAAGATAGATGGTTTGAAAGAGGGGTCAGGGAGGCCATGTGGTTGTTGTTTAGTGGTTGTGTCCAACTCTGCGTGACCCCATGGATCAGAGCAAGCCAGGCCCTCCTGTCTTTCACTGCCTCCTGGAGTTGGGTCAAATTCATACTGGTAGCTTCGATGAAACTGTCCAACCATCTCCTCCTCTGTTGTCCCCTTCTCTTTCCTTCACTCTTTCCTGACATCAGGGTTTTTTCCCAGGGAGTTTTCTCATGAGATGGCCAAAGCTTCAGGATCTGTCCTTCCAGTGAGCACTCATGGTTCATTTCCTTCAAAATGGATAGGTTTGATCTCCTTGAAGTTCAGGGAGCCTCCTCCAGCACCACAATTCAAAAGCATCAATTCTTTGGCAGTCCGCCTTCTTTATAGTCCAGCTCTCACTTCCATACATCACTACTGGAAAAACCATAGCTTTGACTATGTGGATCCTTGTTGTCAAGGTGATGTGTCTGCTTTTTAAGATGCTGTCAAGATTTGTCATGGCTTTCCTCCCAAGAAGCAGGCATCTTTTAATTTCGTGGCTGCTGTCCCCATCTGCAGTGATCATGGAGCCCAAGAAAGTAAAATCTCTCACTGCCTCCATATCTTCCCGTTCTATTTGCCAGGATGTGATGGATCAGTGGCAATGATCTTAGTTTTTTTGATGTTGAGCTTTGGACCATTTTTGCATTCTCCTCTTTCACCCACATTAAGAGGTTCTTTAATTCCTCCTCACTTTCTGCCATCAGAGTGGTATCATCTGCATATCTGAGGTTGTTGATATTTCTTCCGGGGCCATACATGTGTATATAGAAAATCCCTCACTCAACAGGGGTGGAGGCCTTAGATACAATCTGTATTTTATTTATCACGCTGCCCTTTCATCCATCCCCAGAAGGATTAGGGACACACACAAGAAAGATCACTGTTAATGACCGTCAACAAGCCATGACAGTGGATGGAGAATGACTGCAGAAGTGGGATTATCCCTCTCCCCCAATCCTTTGTCCTTGTAAGGAACCTATTCAGATCAGGGAGAAGTGAAACCAATGTGGAGGATATATGAGAGATCTCCTGGCAACTCTCCTCAGACTGAAGAAGCTGCTTGAATAAATAGTGAAATGTTTCAAATAAGTCCAGTTGCCATGACTCATCTTCCAGATAACCTGGATGACAGAATCTTCACAGACTCTTTTGCAAGGGTATCATGACATAATTATTAGGGGAAGGACCAGCTGTTAACATCATATTCTGGTTAACTAAGATTCCTTTCTTGCCATGCTCCAACTCTACCCAGTTTCTCTCCTTGTCCTGATAAAATGTTTCTGGTGCAGATATTACATCAGAGGTAGCTTCTTTCACTGATCTACTAAAGCACAAGGATTTGAGAATAATTCTGTCCTACCAAATGGACATGCCAAGAATAGAATCATTGGGTTACTTTTAATAAGGTATAGATATTACATTGATTCCATCTGTCCATTTTGCCTGTTTTAATTCTGAACTGTTACGTGTGCAGCAGTTGCCAATTTATAGCCCAATATCAAATCACAATTTTTCAGCTTGCATATTCTATTCTGGACTTTTTAAATCACCATTTCAAAACAAAATTTCCCTAGGGCAGCTTTACAAGAGCTTAAAAACAAAAAATAGTCATACAGTATATCTATTGTCTTTTCTCAGTATAGCACACTCTAGGTATTGGCTTCTCATCACCTTTGCTATGGCAGCAAAAAACACAGAAGACTCTTGTGGTTACTAATGTAATCCATCTTTCAACAAGAAAGGCATGATTTTAATATTATTTAACAATATGTTAAAAATTAGCCGAATACTCCTCAGTGTTAATATAGTTATACAATTTTACTGATCTTATATGTAATTACTCATTTGTTAGACCTTCTTCCGCATATTTTTTTTCAACACAAGCTGGCTATAAATTTGGAATCAAAACACAAACAGTTTAACTTGTACATTCTTAACAGTAGACTGTGGAAAACAAAAATTAATGCATGTCTCAAAAGAGTATTTTTTTTCATGACATTGTGTTTAGAGAAGTCTATTGGATAAAAGGGCTGAATTGGCTTGATTCATTGTTGTGAAAAACCACTGAGCAGCTGAGACAAATTCGGAGCCTGGATTCAATTGAGCTGCTAAAAATCTTTGAGGCCAAGTTTTTTTCCTCTTCCAGAGATGGGAAACATGCTATTGTTCCGGTTCCAACAATTGCAAGCTACAATCGGATAACTCTCATTCACAAGTGCCAGTCACAGAAACTAATAAATGCAGGGAGAAAGCAGTAATTTTTCAGTCTTTGAGAGTAATCAGGATAAAGGCTAGATCCACACAGCACAATTAATAAAGTTAACTGTCTCAAGGCCACAAAAGTTCTTTGCATCTGGGAAACTAAAAACAGTCATTAGATTGCCCAGTAGTCATACTCCATATCTTGTCCTTTAGTGGGCAGCAAAGGTGGCTTTCTTCAAGCTAAAGTTGGACCAGTTGATGGAAAGTCGTTGCCTTGTTTGTCTGGCAGAATCTAAGCAGAACCTGCAGAGAAAATATAAAGCATGACAGGGTATCATCATCTTGTGCAATATATTGCAATTTCCTTTGACTTGCTACTGACTAGCTTCCTAACGATTAACTATTATTAACATTTTTAAATACTTGTCTTTAATGTAATACAAGATACAAGATACTGCCCCTATAGACAAAAGTTTCAAACTGCCATAGCTACTTTGTGTTGTGTTTTCAAAATAAAGATTCCTTAGCACACCACTCTGTTTTTGAGGCCCCTGCAGCTAATTTATTATCATGTTGCCAAATCTCAGTGGTGTGTGAAAAAAGGCCACATCATTCTTTGAAAATATGGAACATGGGGAGTGCTTGCCTTGTTTTAAAGCAGAATGATGCTCCCAAAACATTCTGCTTTAAACAAGGAGCATGCTTCTTATTTTTAACAGATAATTCAGCATTATGGTAGGAGATGCAGCTCTACCCCAAGCCACTGCCTCACTTCTGGCGTAAGAGAATTAAACAGCCAGTAGACCCTGTTGTTTATCCGCTTGCAGAGTCAACATACTCAGAACTGCAAAACCTGGTTGAACAGTATGCTATTGTACTTGCCCCAGAAGCAAGTGTGAAATTATGCAGACTGATCCTACATTTGAGAACTTGAACATAACCTGGTAAAGGTGTATATGATTGCAGCCTTTACAGCCTTTTATAAAAAATACTTTAAACAAATAGTTATGTCTAATGAATGTAACACCCATTTATCCATTCCCATTTTTGAAACAACAACTCTAATAATCTGAAGTGGTAAAAGAGGTGGTTCAACAGCTTCCTTAGCATTTCAGTACAGGCCTGAGACATTCCCATAGGGGCCCAAATCATACACCGTTTTCAAGATTCCCTAACTGTATTATGTTCTGTAATTATTTCCTCCTGCACACAAACTGAAAGAGCTCTTTGACATATTTCGCACTATAAAATGGTTTGGCAGACTACCCTGCTCATTATGTAATTCACTTGTGTTTTCTTAACATACAAGCAGAATGCTTAGTCTGCTGTCATAAACAAATACCTCTTTCTAAAGACTCTCACTTCTTGCAGTAGAATGGTATTTAAGGAGTCCTTCACTTGCATCTTATTGAGGTCAGTCAGTGCCTGGAGAGAATGCTACCAATCCCTTAATTCTTGCATATTTCATAATATGGCTCCTATTGATAATGTGCTGCTGACTGAGATTTATAGGCTAAACAGCAATAGTGAAGGTCACCTGATTGACCAATAAGCATTTAGTCATGACACAAGGGTGCATATGTGTCCTCATGTTGATATTTTATTTCATCTCCTCTGCTAACACAAATTGCTGCCTAGTGTTTCTTCCAAGGACTTAAAACTAGTAAAACTATGCTTACATTTATAAGGATATAAATGACAAGGGTGTTGCCTCAAGAAATAAGCCTGCAGTGATGTTTTAGATATGGAACTATATGGGTAGCACTTAAAATTCCTACAAATCCCTGCTGAGCCATCTGCATGGGCAAGTCATCCTGTCAGTGTACCTACCTCATAAGCTTGTGGAAAAAGAAACAGCATATGTGGCTAAAACATGTAATATATACATATTTAAGTTTCTTCTTCAGCATCATTGTTATTACAAGGAAAAAATACAGAATAGTATATCAATGGACTTGCCCCTTCCCTGTTTTTGCAATTTATAAAAGTAGTGAATGAGTAGTGTGACTTTCTATTTTGTGATTGTAAATTGTGTTCATTGTGTTCCTGTCAATTCTTTCTGGAACAGTAGAGGTCACTGTACTTATGGATTGCTGTGATCAAACTAAATAAAGTATACTTTGTTATTAAAGACCAAGTTATTCATATTTAAAGACGAAAATGTTACAGTTGTGATTTGATTGGTCATATTAGAATATGAAGCAAAGGTAAGGAACTATACAAAGTAAATGAAAAGGCAATTTAATGATAATAAAAGAGCTGAGGTTAACATCTGAATTAGACTTTATGGGTCAAGCTTCAAATAAAGAAAGTGTGTATTTCTTTATGTATTAGAGACATGTGTTTATGACTGCAGTTATTAAGAAGTCAGAACTGACTTACAGGGACCCTAATAGGGCTTTCAAAGTAAGTGCAATATTTAAGAAGTGGTTCTACCAATTCCACTAGCCCCAGTGAGTTTCCATGGCCAAGCAGAGATTAGAACCTGGGTGTATGGAGTACTAATCCATCACTTTGTCCACTACATCATAGTGGCTAATATTTATGGCTTTATAAGAAGTATTTTCTCTCTTACACATGCAGGATCCCTCTCATAAACCAGTTTTAATGCTGTTGCACTGCTATGCAAAAGTGTAAACTTTGGAGGCAAATTGTTTCAAGTTAATAAGTATCTATACAATATCTGTTACAGTTACACAATGAGTTGCATCACTCAAAATGCAACAGGTAACATTTACAGAGATTTCTTAAACTGATACAATATGCCTCCAAAAGATACACTTTTACATAGCAGTGCAACAGGATTTCAGTTGGTGCTGTATAGGTGCATAAGTAGATCAGTGAATGCATGGGAAAAAGTACAGCTTGGCTCACTTTCATGACTGTTTTGCCTTGGTTTAGGGTTCTCTGCTATGCATTCAATTATCCCAATACAAACAACAGATTCTTAGCCTAATTTTTTCCCATCTGTAAAATGATATCTTCAAGAATATCTTCTAGACACTTAATTTTGCATCTGTATGTCATAAATCTATTTCATTCATGCAAGGATGTGTGTTGTGCCTAGGTACTGGGCTTGCATGTAGGATTGACATAGGATCATCTTTCTGGGCCTGATATTATGAAGAGATGTACTGCTGAATGGCATGAGTTTCTTAAACACAGAAAATACTAGTGAACCCAGATGAACTGTTTCGTGTTGAGCTCTGATTCTAAGTACAAAGAGGATAGAATTCAAAGTAGGTCCCTTCTATTGAGGAGTTGCAAACCACTGGCATAAATAATATGAATTTATTTGAAAAACTTTATTCAGTGCAGCTCAAAATTCGGTGGAGCCCTTGGGCAAGCTACTCTCAGGTGAGTGTATCCACCTCCATTTCACTGCCGTCACCATTTTCTTTGGGACAAATTCTCACAGCCACCCCAGAAAAGCCAAGGCAAGCAGAGGCTGCTCCTTCTTCTTGTTGTCCCTGTTCCACTTTATAGGAAACAAATGATAAGCCATCACAGCAAAGTCGGCCGAAGGGCTGTAGTGGTTTGTAGTGGGCCTCCTGTTGGGATATTGGCCTTAACAAGCATCCAAACATACTACCTTCTGATACTGACCCTAAAGTACTAGCCTGCTGCAGATTGTAAGAACTGCAAAATCTCTTCCAAAAATTTTAGTACTAGTGTTTTGTGTGAGACAGCAATAGCATCCATCCTATCTCAACCAAACATGTAAGGATTGTGATTACAAGATGCAATTTGGTCATAAAATCAATATACAACATTAGTTTACCTTGTTAATTTGTAGACCAGAATCCTATTGGAATTTACTGCCTGCGGAACAACAGAAGCAGCTATTTGGAGCTACCTGTTGTCTTCCTGTCACATCGCTAGGTACATGATAAGCAACCTACTTCCACTGTTGTGACCGATGCTCTGGTATACACAAACATGATTCTGATCGATGTGTCTAGTAGAACACATTGCACATTTCACTTGTGCCAGCAGAGTTCCCTCCTCCTGTCCTTTTAAATTTTTTTTGAAAGTTGAGGTATCCCGTGAAGTCGTTTGACCTCAACCTAACATCACCAGCTTAAACCAGTTTTACTCTTGGATAGAAATCCAAATTCTACTAATAATTCCCATTTTAAATATGGTTCCATATCTGTTGAAATATGGAACCAATATTAAAAGCATTATCTACGTACAGAAACTTTTTAAAGCTTTTAAATGACATGCATGAATATCACTATAATGTCTAATTGCAAAAGTCGATGGTGCCACTAATGTTATAACAGTAACAGAGATAAGGAATATTCCTGCTAAATTTCAGATGATTTAGAAGAAAACCCATTCAATCTTATCAAATTAATACAGTCCTTGCAAAATATTACATACATTCATGATTAGGATATGTCTAGTTTTACTTGTTTCTTACTCACAGGGATGAATGTCAAGATCAAATAGAGATTCTTGTGGTCTGCCAAAAAATATGGTTCCCCCCCCCTTTTTGTTGATGATCTATTGAAATTCTGTCTTATGATCCAGCCCAAATGTGTACTAGTCCTTTCTGCTTGGTGATTTCTCTCCATTTCGATTTTGAATAAGATCATTTCAACATTGTGAAGATCTATCACAACTGTATCCAAAAGCAGATACAGATGTCTTTATTCTGTTCACAGGGCAGTCACATAGGTATGCATAAGTACTGGGCAGCCACATAGCATTTGCTTACCTTTTAAAATACTCCACTTCCCGCTCTGTCTCATCCATTTCTACATTGTCTAAGTCAACATCTTTGGGCAAAAATACATCATCTGCAAAATCATATTGCATGAAAAAAATTAATTCAAGAGAGTTCTCTACTTTGGGAAAACAACTAATAACACTAAGGAAAATAAACTTGGCAGGCAAAATGTAAATTTTCTAGGAAGTGAAATTATGCATTTAAACTACACAATTTAATTTTGCATAGCACCTTTCATAACAGGCCTTTACACTTAAGTTCATATGTTTCAAGCTGCCACCTTTTCATACTGAAGATGTAACTTGTAAACACTGTGTAGGCTAACACTTGAGGGCATTATGCTGACCAGCAGAACAGTGAGATGGCGCCACCAAGGGAAATACCTGAATTTTACAATTATGCTGGGGATTCTCCAAACGTAGAAAAAAATTCACCCTTTTAATACGGGGATGTAACTTTAATCCCAGCTCTTCTGAGGAACACAGCTGTACAAACCCCTCCTTTAGGAAAAGAAAATGAACATTTTCAAAGCCACAGTGGTGATTAAAGAGGAATACAGAACTGGGTTTGGAAGTGCCCATTTTGCCATACCCATTCAACAAAGAGAAGAGGGAAACTGTCCTCTTCAGGCAATTTCTCCCACACTCACAATTTAATGAAGAAAAAAGGAAACATTTGCAGAAAACACAGCAAGTGTGATGTGGTTCCCATTAGGGTTGAATGTGTAGCCTGCATAACCCCCAAACCCCTCAAAATGGGCGTTAATAATTATTGTAATTTCCTGCCCCCGAGGAAGGAAAAAAGTCATTATCTCTTGGCCTATTCCCATTTGCTAGATAAGAGGCAGAGTCAGCTTAGTGACCAGCTGCTCCTTGGGAGGTCTCCTCAAACTCACTAGACTAGACAGTGAAAGACACAGAAAACTAAGAAAAAATAATTCACAACAAGCCCCCCCCCCCAAAACCCCCTTACATAACAAGATCATGTCCCTGCAATTTTTTTAATCGTTCTTGCAGAGTTATGTAGACAGGACACATCCCAGAATACCCTATTTCCCATGTGTCTCATGTCCCTGCCCCCATTTTGTCCCTGCACATTAGTTGCTGATCCAGTGCTAGAATTAGAAATGGGTGTGGAAAAACCCAGATTTGGCTCTCTCTATTTTGGATACTTACTATCTAGTCTATAATGTACGATTCTTGAGTAAAAAAATGGAAAAGCTGCTACCCTCTAAAATCCAAGTGGTCTCAGATATCATAGGTTGCCTATAATTGCTCCGATCTTGTTTCTGACCTACAGGAGACCTTCGACTTACGGAATTAATCTGTATTGAAACGGTGGCCGCAGGTCGAAAAATCTGTAGGTCGAGGGTCCATTTCCCATAGGAATGCATTGAAAACCATTTAATTCATTCCAGCCAGAGGAAAAAAAATCCGGGGCTTCCAAAGCTGCACCTGCTGCCCTCTGCATTCAGTTCCCGCTGCTCCCTGCGGGGACGGGAGGCAGAGGGCAGTGGAGACAGGAGACAGAGGGTAGTGGGGGAAGGTTTGGAAGCCTGGCAAGCTGAAAGCCAGCAGCGGGTGTGGAGATTGGGGCGGCTTTTGGCTTGCCAGGCTTCCAAAGCTGTCCCCACTGTCCTCTGCCTCCTGTCCCCGTGGGATGGGAGGCAGAGGGCAGCGGGGACGGGAGGCAGAGGGCAGCGGGGGCGGTTTTGAATTTCCCGCCCTTTCTCTGTCTTTCGTAGGTTGAAGCTCCAGCCGCAAGTCGAACCAAAATTTTGCGGCGGAAGCTTTTCATACCTTGCAATTTTCGTAAGTAGGGACCTTCATAAGTCGAGGGTCCACTGTAGTTTGTGACAGAAACAACCTTGACTACTCTGGGGAATGACTTGCACTGGGGAGCACATGGGATCACATTCCAAAAAGATCTGAGAATCACAAGTTGCCTGCCTCTGATCTAGGTCATTACGGTTCACACTGCTTGGCACTGGGATTCTAGTAGAGATGGCATGAATTGCCAGTTCGACGGTTTGGCCTTTGGATGAACAGATGTTTGGTGGTTACCAGCCCCACCTCCTCTGGTGGGCATGCATTCAGAGGCAGCACCTGAAGGAGGTGGGGCAGGGAAGTCAGAGTGCTCCCTTTGAGTGGGTACCTGACAGAGGAGGCAGGGCTGGTAACCAGCAAACACTTTCGTCTGAAAGACAAACCTGCACGAATTAGCGGTTTGTGTCCATCTCTAGATTCTAGGCTTTCACAGAGAATCTTTTCCCATAAGATGTTAGGGACTAAACACCAGACATCTTGAAATGCCAGGCATGCACTTCACCAATAAGCTATATCCCTCCCCCCAGATCCATAGATTTAACTTTTCATATGGGGTATAATTATTTTTAGGTCTAGTATTTTTTCTGATAGTCAACAGTGTAATTGGAAATACCTGAAAGTGCAAGGATTACTTAAATTGAACCAATCTTTCAATGAAATGCAGGCTTACCAATTGATGAATTTCCTTTGTCACTTTTCTTTTTCTTATTTTTCTTGCTTTTGCTTTTTGGCTGAGGAGAATCTTGTGACAGTAGTTTGTTATGCAGCTGTTCACTTGGAAGAACAGTACTTCTCCCCAGAGATGATTTTGCTACAGAATTCATTTGTCTTGTTTTACTACTGCTTACTTTCTTCTCCTCTTTTTTGGAGGCAGAAATTAACTGGAGTTCAGTGACTTTTAATTTAGATTGCATTTTGTTTCTTAGCTTAGGCTGATTATCGCTTTTGGAAGGCTTTTTCAATTGCTGAGCAAAGAGCTTACTTATTTGTGTAATTTGCTGTTTGCTTTTATCTTCTGTGTGTTGATGCATTATATTTAGAAGCAAAGAAAGGGGCTCATGTGATTTCACTGTCATCTCTGTCTTGAAGAGCAGCTTTGAGTCTTTCCCATTTACTGGATCATTAGAGGCCTCACCAAAATTTTCAGAAGTCTCCTCCTGCTCAACGAGATTTGCATTTTTGGCTAGCGATTCAGATGATGTTTCTATTTTTCCTGACAGTTCAGTTTGAATGCATTTTAGGGTGTCTGAGGAAGAATTTCCCTTTACTTGACACTTCTGGGTAAGCACTTTCACTTTCTGGCAGTTTGTGCTTGTTCTCTCTTTTTTCTTTTTCTTTGCTGATTTTAAATCTTGCAGTTGTTGTGCTTCCTCCTCTTCCTGACATTGCTGTTCAAGCAGCTGAGAATCTCTGTGTTCTATCTCAGAATGTGACTTTTCTTTTAACTGTGAAGACAACATTTGTTAAAAATAATTGAAATGACAATAGAGATTCTAAATCCAAATCAAATTGCATAGAGAAATATTGTTTAAGTTAACTAATTCTTCCTTAGGACAGAGAACAGCATCATACTGAAGCAGCAACAAGGGATAGGCTTCTCAAGTATTTTATCATGCAAAATTACAAAAATAGGCAACCACATTTAACGCCTGGTGTGCTTATTTTCTTCTGTAACATACAGTATACAAAATGTCTGGTGATAGTTACTTCAGCAATAAAAACATATTAAAATTGCCATTTCCAGTCACATTCATTGTTTCCAATTTCATGTTATCAAAAGCAAGAAGGTTGCAAATCTTCCTGACCTCTCCCTCAGTTTCAGATGATGGGGGTGGTGGTGGAATCAAGCTGAGTAAGAGAGGAGAAAATCTTTATGAAGAGCAAGGGCCTTTGTCTCTTGGACCCTTAGTTATTCACACTAAGCCATGCTGAATGACTACTGTGTGCTCATTGGAAAACTACAGTGGCGCCCTGCTTAATGATTACCTCGTTAAACGATGAATCCACTTCACAATGGGGTTTTTGCGGTCACTTTTGCGATTGCAAAACAATGTTTTAATGGGAAAAATTTGCTTAATAATGATCAGTTCCCTGCTTTGGGAACAGATTTTTTCGCTTAACAATATGGTTTTAAAATAGCTGATCGGCGGCTCTCAAAATGGCCGCCCACTGTGCAAAATGGCTCCCCGCTGTTTTTAGGATGGATTTTTCGCTGTACAGGCACCGGAAAATGGCTGCCCTAAGGAGGATCTTCGCTGGACGATTAGGTATTTAGCCCATTGGAACGCATTGAACTGGTTTTCAATGCGTTTCAATGGGTTTCCCCCCCCACTTGATGACGAATTCGCTGGAATGGATTAACGTCGTCAAGCGAGGCACCACTGTAGTTGCTTACCAAATAGAATTAATCCATTCTCAAATATATGCAATAATTTTATTTTTATTTTTCTTTTAGAAACGGCTATAAGGGTTTTTATTCTGTAGCCTACTGTAATGTATCCTGATAATGAGATCATTTCAAATCTTGGGAAAGGCCCAGATAATGACAAAAACAGCTCTAAAACCTAGCAACATTATTTCAAAACCAGGAAAGAAATGGTTGGTGTCATTGTTTGATTCTTCAGATCAGATGCACTATGCAATTTATCTGTACTAGTTTATCAGCTTTGTCTTCAATAAGATCTGTTCTCCATTCTGTCTTGAGTATTGCACTGAAATGGAAAAACTGATTTTTATTAGGTAACTGAAATGTCTTTAGGGCTGGAAACCAACTGGAGACAGTACTAACAGAATTTGTCTCTTTTAAGAGAACTACTAGCCATTGTGTGAAATATATCAAAAGGACAAGGCACAACTGGAGAATAAAAAATAATGCCCGTATCAGCTCTTAAATGTGTTACTTATGGATTAATCTCCTTGCATGTCTACTGCTTGCCATGTACCATTCTTCACAGCTGAAGGATTTCATTTTATACCAGAAGAACAATTAAACACATAGCCTCCTATTCTAAGGCCATAATAATTATCATGCTACTAATTGCTTCCCCTTTTGTAGCAAGGGGACACCTGGATCTGGATCGGGTTTATAGCAAGAGCAAACTATTAATTCCCTTTCCTTATCACACTGAAGTCCCGCTCTGAATCAATCCCATCTCTTTAGGCTGGCCATGCCACTGCCAGTGGTGTGATTCACATCATATGTATTTGAACAAACGTGATCTAAAAAGAATTAATAATGGCATTATTATTGGATCTGAAAGCACCCAATAGTACAATTCCTCATCATTCAGGGAAAAGCTAATGAACTTGTAAGGTGGAGAGTCACCTCAGCGGTGTTCAGAAGGGTGTACCGTCCATCTCTCAGGTCATGGAAGAAGCAGGAGAGACAGAAGTCATTGAAAGAGGGCTGCAACAAATGGAAATAAAAGAAAACACAGAAGATGGCGCTAATCAGGCGGGAAAGGGGGAGAATATAAAGGAAGAAGAGGAAGAGAGAGATGCAAAATCATGTTGGGGAAAAGAAGAGAGAGAGGAGAAAAGAGATGTGCTAGTGGAATTGATTCAGGAGGCTCCCCGGATGGGAGAGTGGGTGGAATTTTGAGTTCCTCATGAGTACCCATAGAGAGAATGGAAAAGACAGGTCTACAGAAAGCCACTTTACTGGGATTAGACTGAGAAGAGGAAACAGAAGGAGGAATATAGAGCTTGGGTAAAAAGAGAGGAACAAAGAAGGGAACAACAGAGATGTATAGTGAACTCTGGGAGATCCTGTGGGCCCAGCCCTTTCAGACCCCAGAGACAGAACCCAGGCTTGCCAAGGAAGGAGCCTCAAGAGGGCTCAGCTCACCCACCTCAGGGTTGAAGCTAATGGACAGCACACTGAAATTGTTGGGCACCAAACCAAAGTGGGCCCAATAAGTTGCTAGTTATTCACCGTTGTCTTATCATGGAGAGTTGCCCAGTTTTAACAAGGTTAAGACTTATGATTTGATGTTGAATTTCAAAACAGATAAGCCAATTACAAATAACACATTACATGTTGGACAATAAACCAGTTTTATTTGAAGACTTTGGTCTATCGGCTACTTCTTTGAACAAACACACAGAAAGGGAGGTAAGAGATAAGCAACAAGATCACAGATCTGCATCTAATTTAGATTCAGTAGTATTTAACTTCTTTAAGGTAGCAACATAGTTTGTATTAAAATGTTCAGTAAGGGCACACTGGGTTCCTGAAGCCTCAAGCATAAATAGTTTAAATAAGTGTCTTAAAACAGACATTATGTGTTTCTGCCTTTCTTTCTGCATAATCTTATCCAAGCCTACTGAGCAATAGGTAGGTTCCAGTGAATTTAGTAGAGCTCTCTATCAGGGTACCGTTGTAATGGAAGAGTATAAGAGGGCACACCATTCCAGTCTTAACCATGCAGGAATATGAAAATGAATATGATCAACTAATCTGATGCCAAAGAAAAACATTTTATGTGGAATTTGAACAAGGTCAATGCTTTATGGCAATGGCTCCCAATCTTGGGTCCTCAGATGTCGTTGATTAAAACTCATAGAAGCTTTCACCACTAGCTATACTGGCCAGCATTTCTGGGAATTGTAGCCTAAGAAAATCTGGAGACTCAAGGTTGGGAAAAAGGTTACCTACCAGTAACTCTGGTTCTTTGAGTGCTCATCTGTGAATTCACATTAACGGGTTAATCTGCGCTTTCGTGGAGCAGCCTCAGAACTTTCTAGTTCGAGCACATGGTGCTGGGACCTCCCACATGCTGGCTATAACTCCGTCCCCGGCAGCAAGTACCTCAGTTCCTTGGAACCAATAGCCGCTGCACAGCATGCAACAGCACACGTGACGGACAGCAGGCAGGAAGGGTGGAGAGTGTGAATTCACAGATGACCACTCAAAGAACCAGAGTTACAGGTAGGTAACCTATTTTTCTTCTTCATGGTCTCTGTGAATGCATACTAATGGGTGACTAGTAAGCTCACTTGCCGGTTGGTGGGAGGAGGGACAATAGTGCAGAAACCAGAACAGCTCGACCACTGCAGCCTCAGCCTTGGATTGGATGTCAAGGAGGTACAGTGGGGTCTTTACTTAAGAACTTAATTCGTATTGGAAGGTGGTTCTCAAGTTGAAAAGTTCTTATGTTGAATCTGCATTTCCCATTGGAATGCATTGAAAACCATTTAATCCGTATCTGCTCTTTTCCGTCCATAGAAACTACAGTGGAACCTCTACTTAAGAACTTAATCCATTTTGGAATGGTGTTCTTAAGTTGAAACGTTCTTAAGTTGAAGCAAAATTTCCCATAGGAATGGACTGAAAACCAATTAATCCGTTCTGGCTGTTTTTTTGTTATGTAGAGGTGTGTTCGTACATTGAAGCATTAGTTCCCATAGGAACTAATGCAAAGCTGGTTAATACGTACTCTACCACTAGGGGGAGAAATTTTTTTTAACCTAAGATGACCTAAGGTTAAAAAAAGAGCAGGAAAGGTTTTTTTCCTGTTCTTATCTTGGATTTCTGTTCTCAAGTAGAAGCAAAATTTAGCAAATGGAGCTGTTCTTAAGTTGGATTGTTCTTAAGTAGAGACGTTCTTAAGTAGAGACCCCATTGTAGTGGGAGACAAAGGTGGATGGTGAGACCCATGTGGCAGCCCGACAGATGTCTGCAATGTACACTCCGTGGAGAAAGGCAGTCGAGGAGGCTATAGCTCTGTTAGAGTGAGCCTTTACCGAGCCGGGAAGAGGAGTCTTAGCCAAATCATAGGCAAAGCCGGAGGAGGGACAATAGTGCAGAAACCACAACAGCTCGACCACTGCGGCCTCAGCCTTGGCTTGGATGTCAAGGAGGAGTCTTAGCCAAATCATAGGCAAAGCGAATGGCTTGCACAATCCATCTAGAGTTGGTCTGAGAGGAAGCTGGTGCTCCTATGGAGGAGCCACCAAAGGTGACAAAGAGCCTTTTTGATGCATAGAAAGTAGCTGTGCAATGAACATAATGTGAAAGTACTCGTTTGACATCAAGGGAGTGTAAAGCTCTTTCGAGTGATGAGGAAGGTGATGCAAAAAAAGCAGGAAGCACAATCGGTTAATCTAAATAAAAAGCGGACAAAACTTTGGGTAGAAAGGAGAGGTCTGGGTGGAGAGTCATCTTGTCTGGGTGAAATTGGAGAAATGGAGGAACCACCCTCAATGCAGCCAGCTCTCCAGCAGAAGTAATCATAAGGAGGAACGCGGTCTTGAAGGACAACAAGCAGAGCGAAGTGGAAGCCAAGGGTTCAAAGGGAGGCTTCATGAGCCAATTGAAAACTAGCTGGAGTGACCACTGCGGTGTGAGGGGTTTGTAGGCTGGGCGCATGTTCTTTAGCCCTCGCAAGAACTGCTTCAAGGTCGGATGTCTAAAGAGCATAGCTGTTTTAGAAGAAGGAGGTTG